CCCCCCCCCCAGTCCGAATCGTTAAATAGGAGTTACATAGGAGTGAGTCAACCCTACGGACACTCAGCCGACACAAAAAGGAAAAAGAGAGATTCTTTTTACAGAGTTTACAGGCTGGTTAAAAAACAACACAAACGCGGAGAGTTCTGGGGCCTTTTCTATCCGGGATCAAGGCCAAGGTCTCCACAAAGTCTGGCCCAGGGGGGGGCAACCTTTGGGGGCAGGACGGGTCTCAGGACTGGTCTCGGGCCTGGTCTCCATCCTGGTTACCAACCTTGTTTCTGGCCTGGTTTCCATCCTGGTTTCCAGTTCTGGCCTGATCTTTGGCCTGGTCTCATGCCTTGTTTCTGGCCTGGTTTCCATCCTGGTCTCAGGCCTGGTTTCCAGTTCTGGCCTGGTTTCCATCCTGGTCTCCATCCTGGTCTCCAGCCTGATCTTTGGCCTGGTCTCAGGCCTCGTTTTCGGCTTTGTTTCCGGCCTGGTTTCCATCCTGGTTTCCAGTTCTGGCCTGGTTTCTGGCCTTGTCTCCATCCTTGTCTCAGGCCTGGTCTCTGGCCTGATATTTGGCCTGGTTTCCATCTTGGTTTCCATCCTTGTTTCCATCCTTGTCTCCATCCTTGTCTCCATCCTGGTCCTCCCCCGGTCCTGTTGTGGGGGTCCCCTGTGGGCCCCTGTGGCCCCCGTGGGGATCCCGTTCCTGGACTTCTGCCCCAGGAAGCAGGAGGCCCTCTGCAGGCAGGAGGAGAACCCGTCCTGGAAGGGCTGCCCCCGGCCCCCCCGCCCCGGGGGGGGGGGGGCGCCCGCCGCCTTCTGTAGGAACAGCACCGTGTGCTCCAGGATCTCCGCCTTCTCCAGTCTGTGTCTGGTCCCCCCCTGCATGGCAGCAAACTCCGGTTAACAGCCAGAATTGAACACTTCTAGCTTTTTTTTTAGCAAAATAAACGTATAAAATAATCCAAAACCGCTTGTTTCCACTACTTCTGGGGCTAAATGTCCACGTTCGTTAGGATTTCGAGTCATATGTGACCACGTTTTTCAAACATCTTCACTAAGTTCTCTTTTTTTTCAATTAAAAATCAATCCGACACACGTGTCATATGTTAGAATTTGGCTATAATTACCCACTTTAGCATAGTATGCTAGCACATGATCTATTCTAATTACTGATTGTTTTATTTTCTTTTATAACTATATTGTTGTGTTAAAGTCTCTGGCTGTGTCCACAGACTCTCTTTTTCTTTCTCTGTTGCACTACCATAACCATAACTTTCAGCAAGGCTTAAAATAAAAACAAAAACAAACATCAAATCATGAAAACCAAGGCTAAAAAAAAGGCAAAAACAAGGCTTAAAATGACCAAAAAATGCAACAAAAAAGCAAAAAATAGATCTAAAAAGACCAGAACTAAAGCCCAAAGATGCTAAAATGACCAAAATAGAGCCAAAAGTCATGTATTTAACAACGGCTATAATTACTCACTTTAGCATTGTATGGTAGCACATGATCTATGCTAATTACTTATTGTTTTATTTTATTTTATAACTATATTTTGTGTTAAAGTCTCTGGCTGTGTCCACAGACTCTCTTTTCTCTCTTTTTCTCTCTCTGTTGCATTAGATCCACCTTTAGGTCAACACACACACACACACACCATTTGTTACCACATTCAAATGTTATCTGCATGAATTAGGACCTGGCCTGTTCATGCCCAGAGGTAACTGGCCAATAGGACTTGGTTGTGTCCAGTCCTCATTTTTATACTTTTGATCCACTCTGGTTTATTCTCAGGTTTCTAACTAAAGAATGGGGGCTAACACTTTGGATGGAACAGACACTCTGACCGGAGTCCTGCTTTGAACAGGATATAGGAGAGATAGACTAATAGCAGAAAAATATGTATATATATATTTTTACTTATTTCTCAAAATAAATAAAAACTTTTCTTTTAATTTACCTGCCGAGGCTGCTGCAGCAACATGGTCCTCAGACGCTCCAGACTGTGGTTCATTCGCTCCCTCCTGCGTTTCTCCACCTGAGATTTGATCAGCTATGGGAGCAAAGAAAGAAAAAAAAAAGAATAACCCCGATTCAGGGAAACACAGCCTTTCATTTTTCTACTTTCCTCTGCAATTGCGCACGGAATGGATGAGTTAAGTGGCTTAAATATCTGAGTGGAAAAAGCGTTTGCGTAAACGGAAGTTACCTTTCTGTTGCTGGTCGCGTCCTCTGGTTCTTGCAGCAGCTTCATATCAGCGTAGTTTCCTCCAAAAATAAAAAGAAGCTCAGTCCAAAGTGGGAAGCTTCCTTCCCAGTCCGCAACTGTTCAGGCACTGAGGCTCTCGCGCACGGGTTCTTCTTTTTTAGCTCCCACTGTAGTGTCCCCTCACACTCCTCCTACAAAACCAAGCCCAGCCCTCCTTCCCCCCCCCCTGCTGTTCCGATTACCACAAAGGACAGAACTTCTTTCCTCTGTACAAACCTGAAGTTTTATATCCAATTTGATTACGCCAAGTCTACTGTTTTGTATATAATCATCGAGATTTTACGCTCAGGATCGTGCGTAAAAGTGGTGCGTAAAAGTCGTGCGTAAAATAATTGGATCGTCTCAAATCCCAACGCTTTTTTAACCAGTTTTAGATGTCAGATGTCCCTTTTTCTGGCAGTTTTCTTTTTGCTTTGAGCAGCAGGTATCACACCGTTTATTAGTTATTATTATTTCGTGAAACATCAAACGTGAAGGAGTTTTTCTAAGCCATCCTTTTTTCTTTTTAGTTCTAGATTACGCAGATCCGCACATTTCAACATAGTCATTTTACGAAAATGTATTCCAATTATTATCCAACATTACATAGAAATAATCCTGCTCCCCTTAATGAATAGCTTTTTGTAGTTTTAGTAAATTAACGGTATTCCTCTTAACTTCAGTTGACATTTCAGTGTTTAAACTTCTTGAGTTTTAATGTTTGTTTGGTGGATTTTTGCTAAAGTGAGAGTGCAAAATGATTAAATTAAATGAATACCGAGGAGTTTTGTCAGACTTTTGTCACACCGACTCTTTTGTGTGTCCCTTTGTCTCTCAGCCCTGAACGCGGCGCGTGCCCGCGCGCGCGCCCCTTCACACCTGCGCGGTTCCGCCGGTTTAGCGTTCACGCCTCCGTGTCACCGCAGACAGCGCGTGCCTTTTGGGAAGCTGTCTCGTGCTGGGTCAAGGCATTTGCTCCACAAAAGCCTTTGATGTGCCGCGGGGCTCCGTGGGAACGCCTGGGGGGGTGGGGGGGGGGGTTATGCACACGTGACCGGCCTTTGGGGAGGGCACGTGAAGCCCTTAGAGGCACTTCAAAGGATTAATCACCATTCTGTGCGTAAAAGTGGATCAAATCAGAGTTTTCTGTCCACTCAGATCCCAAATCAAGATGGAGTTACTAAATTTGGGATGTACCAATAAGTTTGGATAGATATCTGTTATAAAGAAAAAGGACTAGTTTCAAATTTGAGTTAGTTCAGGCAAGAATAACAAAAAACAGACTTGTGGCAATAAAAATAATTAACATAAGTCCTATATTTGAAGTGCAGAAAATCTGATAAAAGTGAAGGAAACCAAACATGTGACTTCATTTAAGTTGCGAATCAAAATGATTTTGTTTCCATACCAACACAAAAAGCCTGAAGGTTGTTAGCTCAAACACACATTAAGAGGTCAGAGCTTGTTCAGCTCTTCGGTTTTTGGGTGCCAAAGCCTTTTGGACTGATCAATATGGAGCCCAACTGTGTTCTTCTGGGTCCGTTTACACGTTGGACCAGAATAATCTGCCCTTCACGACCAGCCGGGAATGTTTTCCTGAATATTTCTGACCATTTGTTCCATTTTGAGCCAAATATATCGAGCTAGCTCCCGTTAAATTAGTGTAATCTTTTCTGTTGTATTTATCTTCCAAGTCTGAATCATCTTTTATTTTGTAAAATCTTTTATTTTGTAAAAATGACCTGGTTCTCTCGGTCACTAGAGCTCCAAATATTTAACCCACAAGTTAGAAAAAGGAGAAAAAAACAGACGTCTTTGGAAAGTTTCTTTTTGGAGGCAAAAAGGCCCAAAAAGAGCCGACGACTCCCGAGAAAACAAAAGCTTTTAACAGACAATTCCAGGAGTTCTGATTGAAACATGGATGTTTTTTGATCGGTGATTCCCACAAACTGGGGGCCCTCTGTCTAATTTATATATAATATATATATATATATAAATATATATATATCTATATCTATGTGGCGAACGGCTCTTTAATGAAGCGACAAAGCTTCAAAACATCTTAAAATCTGTGATTAAAAGAGTATTTTGAAGTATTTTGCAGTGAAAAATAAGGTTGGATACCAGTACAGAGTGGATTCGCGTTAATTTCTTACATTCGCAGCATAAACTGGTCGAGCGTTGAATACAGAGTCTTTATTGTAAAAGAGGT